AATGTGCTAGCAATTTTGAAAATTGTATTTCTTGCAACGATGATAGATATTAATTAACAATACTTGCAAATGCATTACAAAATTAAATGGAGGATCAGTAAGTACATTTGAATATAATGGGATGATTAAATGCTAAAGTATATGATCAAAATAATGATTAGAATGCCATTATTCATGTGGAACCTGTGGAGGAATTGAGGAAGGAGATTGCATTACTTGTATAGAATCTGAACAACGATTGTAAGTTGGAAGTACTTGTGTCTGTAAAGGAGGATATTTTGATGCAGGATTGCCTGAGTGTTAAAGTATTTAATAAGATTTTACAGATAGAGTGCAGTTATAAATGTTAAGAATGCTCGAAGCAATCTGAAAGTTGCACTTCTTGTGTAGATAATAGCTTCAGGTAATATGTTTCTGGTTTCAAAAAATGTCAATGTATTCAAAGATATTATGATGATGGAGTGAACGAAATTTGCAAATGTAAATCTGTTATTAATCATTTTAAGAATGCCATTACTCTTGCCTTAGATGTAATGATGTTGAAACCAAATGCGAATTGTGTTCATTTGAATCAAACAGAATTTTTAATGATTAGTTTTTTTCTTGTGATTGTAATATTGGATATTATGATACTGGAGTTGAAAATTGCCAAAATTGTCATTACTCTTGTTTAACTTGTAGTTCTGGAAACTCTAATTCCTGTATCTCATGTGTAGAGATGAATACTTCAAATAGGGTATTTTATAATAATACATGTCAATGTTTATTTGGGTATTTTGATGATGGAAAATCAACATAATGCTAAAAATGTGATATTTAATGCTTAAGTTGTATAGAACAATCTTATTCATGTTTATCATGTCCCTAGACAAGAAAAATAGAAACAAACTGTAAATGTCAGAAAGGATATTACGATGTTGGTTTATAACTTTGTTCTAAATGTAATTCTAATTGCCTTACATGTGAAATTACATCAAAGAATTGCAAATCTTGTGATTCTGACTAATTTAGAGAACTTAACTTATTAACCTTTACTTGTGATTGTTTGTAAGGTTATATTGAAATTAATGGAATATGTGAATAATGCTAATCAAGTTGCAAGACTTGTTCTAAATCTAAAACTAATTGCACTTCTTGCGTTTAATATCGATTCTTGAACAATAATGACTGCATTTGTAATGTTGGAATGTTTGAATCAAATGTTGATAAATAATGTAAATTATGTGATAGGACTTGCTTGTCTTGTGCTAATACTAATACTTACTGCTTAACATGCTCTATTGAGAATTTTAGAGAATTTAAATCTGGAAATACTTGTGAATGTCGCTAAGGATATTTTGAAGATCCTGTTACTTTAAATTGCGAATAATGTTTGAGTTCCTGTTTGACTTGTGCATTATAATATGATAATTGCACTAGTTGTGATACTGATTATAATTTAGCTTTAGTTTATAATAAATGTGTTTGTGCAAAATCCTATTATTTTGATTCTTTGACTACTTAATGTGAATGTAAAATTGTATATTTATTTAGAATGTAATATCAAATGTCTAGATTGTAAAAACAATAAAGAATGTACATAATGTAGATTATCTACAAGGCATTATAGTTCAGATTAAAAGAGTTGCTTATGTAACGATGGATATTTTGAAACAAATTAATAAAATTGCTAATGTAATTAAATGTAAATTAATTTAGAATGTCATTTATCTTGCGGGACTTGTTAAAATTTGAATACCTATTGTTTAACATGCTTAAGTGAATTCAAAAGAATATTAATAAATAATACTTGCTTGTGTTAGGATGGCTATTACGATGCAGGTATTGAAATGTGTTAGAAATGTAATAATGTTTGCAAGATCTGTCAATCTTCTGCTTCAACCTGTGTATCTTGTTATGACATTGAACATTAAAGGTATTTTTCAGGAAATAAGTGCTTATGTAAAGCTGGTTATTATGAGTCAAATACAGATAAATGTTAAAGTAATACATTTCAATGACATTAGAATGCTCAAATGAATGCTTAACTTGTTATGGCTTAGCTGATTATTGTACTAGTTGTGATATCAATTCAAAAAGAATTGATCAATCTATTATCCATAAATGTCCTTGTATTTTTGGATTTTATCAAGATCAGAATTAGACTTGCTAAAGTAATTCTCTTAAATTAAACTAATAGAGTGTCATATGAAGTGTTAGAGCTGCGTTAACTAAGCTGATTAATGTCTAAGTTGTAACTTCTAATAAAATTCAAATCGATTGAATTTATCGGATTAATGTAATTGTAAATAAGGCTATTATGATGATGGGACTTAACTTAAATGCTAACTCTGTAATTTCAGGTGTAAAACCTGTATATTTTAAGAGAATAGTTGTTTAATTTGTTCAAATTTAATACGAACTAATCCACCTACATGTAATTGTATGGATGGTTATTATGAAGACGAGTAATTAATTTGTTAAAGTAAGTTTATTCTTAATAAAAGGTTGTGCTTCTCAATGTAGTACATGTATATTCTAACCCTCAAACTGCTTAAGTTGCAATCCTGGAAGAATAGGATAAGATTGCAAATGTATTGATGGGTATTTTGAAATTGGACAATTATTATGCTCATGTATTAAATTATTAAAACTTTTAGAATGTGTATTTTAATGTGCTACTTGTGAGTTAGATCCTTTAAATTGCAAGACTTGTAAAGGTGATAGAATTCAAGAACCTTAATGTATTTGCTAATATGGTTATTTTGACGACCAAATTAATGAAGATTGCTAACTATGTGATGTGACCTGTTTAGAATGCAATATGAATGGATGCTTGTCTTGTTTTGCCAATAGAATATTAAATGAAGATATGGATTGTATACCTCCCCCAAATTCAATTTCTTATCAAAATACTCCTTGGTGTTCAAGTAAATTTTAAATAATACCTTTAGCTTGTGAGGTTGCTGTTATTAAAGCATATCTATCGGATGATCTTAGTAAGATTATAATTCATTTTGATTTTCCTTTAAATCCCAAGGGCTTTAGATCATAAGTAGAATCCATTTACACTTATAAATTACTATAACTATTTGAAGTAGAATTTGTACAAAGCTTGGGTTAAAATTCTGTTTGTTATCTTAACCCGGATGACAATTAAGAATTATTAATCTCACTAGGTGAAAACTCGAAAATCTTAGTCGGCGACGAAATCCTATTTAAAAGTAGTACCTTGTCTCACATTAATTGTGAAATCACTTTGCAAATCTTTATCTTAAATACATTATAAATGCCAATAAACCCTCTTCCTCCATAGATATAATATCATATACCGCTTCATTAACTGAATCCTTTAGCAGATAATTCTGTCTATTTAAAGTCAATAAAAAATAATGGAAATAGAAAATTAGATAATATTATTTGGGCTTGTCAAGTCAAATCAACTGATGATAGTTCTACCCTTAAACAATATTTAGATTAACTTAACTTTGTTTAAGAATATAATTTATTAATACCTAAACTTACTTTACCAAAAGATGCAGAATTATCATTTAAAATCTACTATGAAAATTTCATCCATATCTCTTCCTTTTCAGAATTTATAATTTACACTCATTCAGGAGCTCTTCCTTAAATCAATATAAATGCAAAATCCTCATATTTCGTTTATTAGACAATTTTAATTGGAGTTTCTGCTGGCAATTCAGATTAATCAAATTCCAAAAGTAATTTTAAATATTAGATTTAACTTATTGAAATGGATAGAAATCCTCGCATATCATTGTCCTCATAATTAAACACTTCAGTTTATTCTAATTCCTTTGAGATGATCTATACAACAATTCCTAAATATACTTTGAGCCCAAATTCTACATATACATTTTTAGTGACTGCAACAAATATAGTTACTAACCAAGTCCAAAAAGAAAATTTGACTATTGACATTCTGTTTGCTGGATTTTTTTGTTAGTTCAGCAATCGAGGAATTTAAAGTATGAGTAAAGACCTGATCCTCTATATTGAATGCAAAGATTTAGACACAATATTTGATTGGAATAGTGATCCAGATTTGTATATTTAAGTAGCTTGTATGGATTTATAATCGAACAGCACATGTTAAAATGAATAAAAGCAAATCATTAATGTTAATTAGACTACCCCATATTAATTCATCAGAAGGAATTCGATTTCGGCTTTCACAGTTTAAGAGTGGTCTGTGTTAGTCACAAAATTTCAACAAGATTAGAAATTTTCCTTAATTATTGTTTATCTAGATGATGATTTCCCTATGCTTGATCTAGAATTTAATAAAGGTTATTTAATGAGAAAGATTAACAATTACGAATAACTGAATTTTACATTTCTTATTCCTTTTGATTAAAAACCTTACCTTTTAGATTTATCAATTGCAATTATTTATAACTATGAAATAATAGAAATACTGTAACCAAAATACATTTCCCATTAATTCAAGATCTTTAATAGCATTAAGGAATTAAATCTTGGTGATGAGGTCAATATTAAATTTGCAGCTTAGTATACCAATAATATCATGCCAAGCTTAAATAATCTTAAACTATTAGTAAACCAGCCGCCTTAATGTTCAAAATTATTTATTACTCGTTCTAATAACTTGGCATTAACTGATATAATAGTAGTTAGTACTTGCGATCTATCAAATGATTCACCTTTTAAATATTAGCTTAAGTTATTTTGAGAGACTCAGACTTAACAGATTTTTTGCAAGGTGGATTGGATAACTCTTTAATTCTTTATCCATTTTAAGCTTAAAATTAATTTTCAATTTAAACACCTACATCGATTGACTCTACAAAAATTGGAATTTTAGTTTAAGTGCTTGATAATGGAGGATCAATGACATAAATTTTTGAATAAATTGCTGTGAAACCTGCCAAAATAAATTGTACTTCAATTTAATATTAGAACTTCAATTTATAAGGCAAGGTATCATTGCTATTTGAAGCTATGAATTAAAAATGCCTCGATCTTCATTCTAAAATTTATCTTGATTTGCTATAAGAATCAATATAAGAAGATTATAATGATAATATTCTGAGATTTCAATCATTAAAATTATATAAGCAGTCCTTAATCTAATCTATGTAAAATGAACCTTTAGATAATTTAACAATTGATAGGTGCTTTGATATCAACTCAACTCATGTATTTATTATGTAAAATACCACTTAACCTGAAGTTGATCTAACGGTCAAAATATAAAACTTAAAATAATATACAAATAATTTAAACAGAACCCTAAAATATTTTAGAAAGCTAAAAATACAATTTTAGGATGAGCTATAACTAAATTAATATACATGGAATGAATAAGTCTTTCAACAGTATTAAAGCTCACAAGATTGCTTAAGAAATTAATTATACTACCTAGATGACATTTATTCAAATTTTTCAAATATAAATTTACAAAATGAAGTACTTTATTAGGCTATTGTTGATTTGTTAAAGTTCATTCCTTTAATTTCAGAGGAAACATAAAATACAATTATAGTAAACAAAGAGCCCTTGGTTTTTAATGGAAATGAAATTATTTGGTAATTAAAAAGAAGAACAAGATCATCATTCAATTCATAATTTAATATTGAACCAGCCTAAGAAGATTTTCTAGTAGATTATATTTAATTGGAATCACTTTAATTTTAAAAAAATCCGTTAAGATTCAGTTCAGAACTAAAAGAATTACTCAAAACTTAATCTAATGACTCAACACTAAAAATATACACATAATATTACTATCTAACATAATTGAAAAATGTCTACCATAATAAATTTATATCATATGAAAATTTTTCATCTATTTATGGTACAAACTTTGGATCCTATCAAGTTTGTAAAAAATACTACTTAATATTTATCTGAATATGAAATTAAATGTGTAACGAGGACAGTCTCTACGGTCTCTGGTATTAGTGCCATTTAAATAAAGTATAAAACAACGATTCTATGAAAATAATTTGTGAATGCGATAAGTTTGGTGATATTTTCCTTTCTACCTCGACGAATTTTAATCTTAAAAATGAAAATTCCACTATTTAATCATTATATGATCCTCAAATTGCATCCTCATTTGAAAATTTTTTGACTTTAGAAATTTATATTAGCTCACTATCATTTATATTTTTGGTTATCTACACTATGTAAATATATAAAGATTATAAAAACGAGTAAGAGAAGTCTGATATTGAATAAATTAAGTTGAGCCCTAGAAATAATTTTCATATCAATAAATTGACATATTAAGGTAATTTTAAAGTATTCAAGGATAAATTTAAAGTAAAATTATATTCGTATCTTAGTAAATTCACTAAACAATTTCACTGTTTAATTATAAAGACTAAAATATTAAATTAAGTTATCAAATTTTAGAAGTACTCTCCTAATTCAATTTATTGTTAACTTTAGCAATTGTTGAATTTGAGATTTTAGATAATTAAATACTTTACATTTGTTTATTTATTATTCTAAACCCTGTCATTATTTTATTAATGAGATTTATATACAAGATAGTTGAAGCTATATATAGGTTCAAAAGGATAGCTGCCTTCATTAGTCAGTTTCTTCTTATTGCGTTTTTGATGACCCCTAATCTTATTACATATGTTCTTAACCTTATGAAGTATATATTATACTAATTTAGAATAACAATATTATCAGAAGAATATAAGGTGGCAATAATCTTTGCTGGCAACATTATAGTGTCTCAAGTGATTTTTGAACCAGTTATAGTTTTCGGAAGAATTTTCATTTATAGAATAATAGCGAAAAGTATGAAAAATATGGAACTCAATCCGCGTTTCATTTAATGCACTTTCTTGCAATGCATAGTAGTTTAGAAGAAATATTCGAAGATTTCACAAGGATTTGATATATAATTAAACTTAAGATATCAAATATTTGTTCGTTTAATATTATACATAGGATTAATTTTTAAATTTAAGTTATAGTGATTAAATGCTCTCTGATTGATTAGTTGCAATATTTAATTTTTCTCATTATATAAATTGATTATGAATGAAATTTTGAAGTATTGATAATATTTGGAGGAGAATTAAAAGGTTAGTATAGTACTTTTTTTTACTATAAGTTCTCTTTAATATCTTATAGAATCAATTTTTGGATGTATTTTGAAATTCAAAAGTTGGAAGCAACTTTGATTAATTAAAATTTACATATTGATTAGATTGATAAATATCATTTTACAATTTGATATTATTAGAATTTAACAATTTTATCTGTACGATTGCTTTACAATATTGGTATGACACTCTTTCTTATTTTTCAAGCAAGGTAAGTTTTAGTCAAATTAAATCATAATGATTTTATAAATCTCTTATCCTTCTTTATTATATTTAAGTCCAAAGTTTTAATAATATTTAGATTTCCAAAGTTAATTAAAATACTTGATGTTGAAATTACTTTAGATTTCTCTAGCTAAGAAAATCAAAAATAAGCATAGAAATGAAGGTTGAGTTCTTAACCTTTTTAGACCTGTCTAAGTGAGTAACCTTTTTAGAGAAACTTGGAAATTCTTGATAGAAAGAAAAATAATCCTAACTTGCAAGGTAACTTTTTCAATATCATAAATATAATATTTTCATCTAAATAATAACTCATAAGACGTATATTTCTTTTTTTTTCTATCTAAAAATACTAAATATTAAGCATCATTTGTCATTGAACCTTAAATGACTTCAATGCCACAATCTAATGAACCTAATATCTTAAACTCTGCATCATTAACTCTCCTAATAAAATAAATGCTATGTTTATGCCTTATCAATAGGATCTTTTTATCTTTATTGTATATTATTGGGAAATTTACAAAAACATTCTCACATTAATCATTATTATTTAATTGAATGGTTTTATCTTAATTTTATTCAAAGGTTCCATTCTATAGCTCAAAGATCAAAATCTAATCAACTTCCTTTCCACTTGTAACCCAAAGAAATTGTTGATTATTCATAAAGTATATTTAGTTTCCCTAAGGAACCGATTATTTACATTTACACTGCCACCTTTGATCTATTTTCTCCCATATTAAATAATTATGTTTTGCACAGGATACTAATATAGTCTCAGATTCATTTAAACTTAAGGAATATACTGCTGCGGTATTATCTAATGATTAAAGAAAAGTTAGTTCATTTTTCATTAAATCTACATTCCAAATTATTATTTAATTATCTCTACCACCTGATATTAGTTAATCTTCTTCTTTATTTAAAATTAAACAAAAAACCCAATTAGTATGCTAAAAATATTATTATGACCATTGCCATTCATTAGAGTTAATTTATTTCCAGCAAATGATTGATTTATCCCAAGAACCAGAAATAAAGGAATTCATTCTTTTGCTATACACCAAACATTAAACATGATGAGATAATTAATGCACTCGATATCTATTCGATTATTTCAGCTACCCTTATGCAAAATTCCAAATTAAAATATCTTATCCATCTGTTGACACCATAATTGATCCAGTGTTATTAAATACTATTGCATAACAATCTTACATCTATTTCTAAACATCCTCAATTAACCTAAAATTTACATCAGGTTAATTTTAATTCACAATTTCGCTTTCCTACTATCCTTGAATTAAATTAATTTATTGTATTTAATCTTTATCTGAACTACAATTTTCCAAATTAAATAGAAATTATTGGCATTTCTTTGCCAACTCAAAAGATTTGAAATTAGCTAAGTTAGAACTTATTTTTTTATTCCAAGAGTAATTAATTCGTTAAATTTAATTATGTAGAGCTTTGCAATCAAAATCTCCAAACTAAATTTGATTAATTATGTTATCTAATTCTTCATAGAAACTATAATTGACATTCTATTATCCAAAATTTAATAAACTTTACATCCATTCTGTTGAGTTTTAAATGAATTCATCTAATTAAAGATTGATTTTTGATTTTAACTGAATTAATGTTTCTTTGAGTTCCTAAATCTATTAGAGATTCATCAAAATGGCACTTTCCACTAATTAAGCCTTCTTCTTTTGATTATCTTCAATTATTCTAGAAGCTTTTGAAAAACTTATTGCATTATTTAGGTGAGAGTCTAAATTGTCGATGCAATATGAGCATAACAGTTTTTTATTCTTCCCTAAACTAGTATCACAAACTACTAGTTATATTGGATGAGCATGATTCATAGAACAACAAAAATCTTCTGCTTTTTCTATCATTTTTGATTGTATCATTATATAAAATGTAAATTATTAATTCATTATTATTCAATTCGATTATAATTAATAAATAAATTATTTAGTGTAATAATATAATTAGCATGTTAAAATTGAAAGATTCAACCAAATTATTTCAGCTATCTATCGGCATTTCATAATACTGTTATATATTTTGATGAATTTCTAATAGAATTGCTTTCTTTAGTGAAATCACTTAAAACTATAAATTTTAAATTTCTGATCAAATAACCCTTCAGGAAAATTTTCATCCCAAGCTTTTGAAGTCTATGATAATTTAACAATACAATAATAAAAGGTTTAGATTAAGTATCATTATTAATTTAGATTAATTAGATAGTAATAGATATTTTAATTACAAATACCGATAATGGTCATATTATAATTTATTATAACTTCCTTTTTATATATTGGATCAACTGTCTTTTAGGCCCCCTTGTCAAAGTGATAGCTAATGTAAACAATCCCCAATTAGGTAGTTTTAAGGAAAATATCCTACAAAAAACCAATAAATCATTTCCATAGAATACCAGTATTACATAGTCAAAGTCTTTTCTAATTGTTTATTATCAGAATGCAAAAATCATAGTTTTGTTGTATTTTGTTGTTGCATTAACACTTAAATTATAGATCTTTATGAAGTAGCAATAAAACTACCTGTTAGTTCTATTGAAATTGGATTATTATGGCTAATGTCACCTAAATTGAAATTACTTTTTGTGTTCAAAATCGATAATTAATTTTTTTGGATAAAATAAACACAGAGTCATTCTAATAATTTTAACTCAAATATGTGTTAATATTCATTTAACCTATTCATTTTCATATGCAAAATCTTTAGGCTATAAAAATTCAAAAGTTAATCATTTTGAGTTTGGAATGTAGAATAATTTATAAACCTAAAAAAATAGAAAAATGAGATTTATTAATTATAAATTGGATATCTAATTCTAATTCTAATTCTAATTTATTTTTTTTCTTTCTTTTGATAATCATTAAAACATAAATAACACCCAGTCAAATAATCATCTAAAACATTATATAAACATTCACACCCTTTAAGAAACATAATTTTATTATCTCACGACCACCACAATACGATTAAGGATTATTAGTATTTATGTATTCTAATTCTTCCAGCATACCATCTCAAATACATATGATTACTGTTTATAATATTTCAAATTATTAAAATTTACTTCTTCAACTCTTCTTCTTTTTTAAAGTGGACATAATTTTTACACTTAATACAACTGTGGTTATCGCTTTTCATTAATAGCATAAAACAATTCATCTGTAAAAATATTGGTTCTTTTGAATAATGGAGCTCATTTGACCTTTCAATAAATATATTCTCTATAAGGTAAATTTGACTGAATAACGAAATTAAATTATTTTAATTTTAACAGCCTATAATTATTACGACTCAGGAAATGCTGAGATAATAGTTACAATTCAAAAAGCACACGTATTTGATGCACCATCCTTTTACATATTGTTTGGAGCCACCATAATCGTTTTATTAATATCATTATAAATTTGTTCTTCTAACTAAAAGGTAATTCGAATGATGAAGATAATTTTGAGAATGAATTATGAGTATAATATTTATTACAATTTTTAATAATTATTAATTTTAGTTATTATTTGGTTACAACAAAATTAAATAAATTTAGATTACCATTTTAATCCATTTGGATACAAATTAATAATTTAGATTGTAATACATTGATTTTTATTCTGTATGAATACAAAATTTATTTACATTGATGGTCCTCTGATTTTAATCAAATTTTTATGATTTTGACTCTTGTTTGAGATTTTTATTTATGATACTTACTAGCCGGTTTCAAATTAAAAATATTAGTATTTAATTCATAGCAACTAATTTAGATGGTTTTTATTTTTAATTGAATTTATTTATATGAAAATTATTGTTATTATATTACAAATATATATTCTTTTGCAAGTCAATATTTTCACTTGCAAAATTGAGTATTGATTTAGAATAAATTTTGGATATTTTATACTAACTTATAGAAGATAGAAAATGAACACTCTCTATCTAAATTTAGTTATTTAGATCTCTAAGTAATGAAATTAGTATTTTTATGCTATTTTTGTTGCGATCTCTAAAGATGTTAGTGAACAGTAATTTGAAAATATTTTCATCTCAAACTTAATAAGTTGTTATTATTATTTTATTTTCCTTTAAATTCTGTTTTAAGTTTATTTTAAATATTCTTATAGTATATTCAAAATAAAACACATTTATTTAAAATATCAAAGCATAGATCGGACTCAAAAGTAATCTAAATCTAGAAATATAATCTTAAGAGTATTTTTCACTAATTTATGTATTTTTAAATTGATTTCTTGAAGTTACAATTATGAATTTGTAATTTATTTTAAGGCTTCAAGCCTATATAATTGTAATTCTAGAGACTTCTTAAATTTAGGAAATACAGTACTTTTGCAATATATCCTAAACTGATTAATAAACGAAAGTTTAATTGATAAATAATTAATGAAATTGAAAGAAAGACAATTTTTTGCATATTTAATAAATTATATCAAAAAAATAATATTAAATATAATTTTTATTAAGTTTTATTACAAGCCTTCCTAATCAATACAATATAATTTATTTTATTATTACGTAAAAGTTAAAAAATTGAGCTCGATGTTCAAATTATGAATTCTATATATTCTAAATAGCATGATTTGGCTAATATAATTGTGAACAGTCAGAACTATTTTTTATTATTTATTTTATGTTTTTTTTTATTTAATTCCTTAAAACAATTGAAATTTTGATGGATATGATTTTATTACAAAATGCTCTAAACAAGATACTTTCGATTAAATCCTATTAGATTAATTATGATTATTGTATGTGAGATGTAAAGCCTAATAAGTATTAGAAATTTATTTACAAAAACTAATAATTGAAAAAAACAAATATTTTTATATAAATTTTAAGTATATATATAATAATGTTGAAATTTAGTAAGAATATTGTTATAATTATTCATTCTTATTTTGGGGTTTCTTGTACTTATTGTGTTAACTCTTTATTTTACTCTTCGATCAGTGCATTTTCTATCATAGAATGATCAGATAAGAATTTGAATTGTCTTTCCATATCTTCGATCTATTATGAGGGAGTTTTTGAATTGTGAAGCTATTATTAGTACAATAATTGTTGTTATTATTTTTATTATTTAGTAATGATTTTGATATTACTTTCTAATTTGAATCTTCCTTAGGTTTGATAATTTTCTTATTTTGATTGAGCATATTCTTTAACAAATTAATCAGCATCTGTAAGGTATGACAAACAATCACTGTATAAGAATTACAAATAATAATCCGCTAATACTCTTACAGATACAAGATCAACTTTTTTATTATCATTTTATGGTTTTAACTCTTGAAATCTGTTTTAGAAATAATCAGACATAAAGACAGCAAACGTTTAAATATAGCTTTCATTGTCTTTGGGTGGTAACTCAACATGTTTTTGAAGTGATTAAAAATAGTTACCCTCCCACCACTTTTTCTCGGATGAACTAAAAATTACTTAGAATTTAGATATATGGTATAGGCTAAAGAAGAGAATAAGGACACCAATCATGAACTTTTTATCTTAATCATTGAATTTTGCTTCGTATAAGCAACATTATGTGACATCGTTGTATAATTTTTCAGCCTTTTTGATGTATCTAATGTGAGGCTTAAAGTATTGTAAGTAATCCATAAATCTTTTGATACTAATGCTGATTAGGATTTCTGAGATGAGGGTTTCGTAATCAAATTGAGTACCCCAAAGGTATCTGCTTATAGGTTCGCTAATAAGGAATTGATAATGTTATTCTGGGGTCTAATGTTGTGGTAATTGGGGTTTGTTGGCTCTTCGTTAGGATTATAATTTTTAAGCCTTTGACTATCCTCCTCCCATATAGATATTAAATTAATAAAAACAAATATGTAAAATCCACTCTTTTACAAAAGTAAGTGTTTAATTATACAATACAGATCGATTATAGAGAGGAGATAATTTGAGTGTGAAGTTTATCGTGAGCTTATCCCAGAATTTGGAATACTAGAAGAATGTGTTGAAGTTTTGGGACCAGATTGGAAAGAATCCATAGGGAAAAGTATTGACAACTGAGTTGTTAGAAGTGAATATATATTGTTATTATAGGTTATTACAGCAATAATGAAGTGTGTAATATGTTTGCCAGATGAAAGTCTGAAACAGTTATCATAATAGTATTTAGAATCGATGACAGATGTGGATCCCAACTTGCCAGAATACTCGAGTTATCAAGTGTTTGTAGATGCATTAACTTAATTGTTGTTTTAACTAATTATTCAGCCAGATTTGAGTTCTGTAATTTACCTTTTGAAAACAATTCATGCTCGCATATATCGTCGATAATTGATAGATGTGAAAGGTATTGTGATATAATGATCAATAGATGACACAAAGAAAGACATAGATTATCATATACTTGTAAAAATACATAATGCAGATAAAATTGAATAGAGTTTGAAAAGTGATTCCAAAAAGTCTTACTTCCCAATCTATTATACTGAATAGTACATCTATAATGAAGAATAATTGTAGAGTGCAAATGTCATTCCTAGTAGAATAATCAAATATAGATTGGCACCACTCAATGAAATTATTCCTATTGGAATGAGTTGCGAATGCATTATATATGCTTTGATAAATAATAGTTGTCAACAAACTGAATACAAACATTTTACATCAGCTTAATATCCCTTTGCTAAGGAAATCAAATTGGTTGGCAATGTGACTGAAACATTCTTGTTAACATTACCTAATAGTCAATTAGTTCCAGAGATTGGATTATAATTTATCATAGAATAGAATGATGATTCTTATGGATTACATTCACAATATTATAAGTTGTGTAAATAAATCACCAGAGATGTTTAATGGTCCTAGTATCCATTAAGCAATTATG